CAACAAAGTTATGTGTGAATATTTACTTCAAGCTTTATTTTTTTCCCAGGCACTTATAATCCATCCACCAAAGACCTGGTTTTTTTGTTAATGCGAAGACAATACTCCTGTATTTCCTGTTGTGTTGCACTCACTGACAATCTAGCAGATTTTTCCAACTTTGCACAGAAATGATTGTATATAAGTGAAAAGGCTGTTTTATACTACTGGAATTAACATTTATCAAGTGTATGTATAATCTCCATCGAACATGTAAAGCATATCTTGCTACTGGCTGTAAATTGTGATTAAATTATATGGTTCTATTTCTGTAACAATTTGATGATGCCTGTAAACTGGCGTCCCTCATGTACTGTACTATGAGAATAAATTTATTTATTATTACTATACACTGAATAACTGCACTAAGTGAAACAGTGAGGAAAACTAAACGAGTTATTGCCTTCTGAAATGCACTGCACTTGCAACAATCACGAGAACCATCTACATTTGTTAGCCTAGCAGTCAGCTAAGCAAAGAATGGCACAGTATTAAGAGGTTTCTTCTATACATTGAATTCACATAACCTATATTATACTGCGCTAATCAGTGTAAATATATATTAAGTCCACTTAGAGATAACCTTTCAACTTACCATAATTCCTGTCTAAACACACATACAGTGAGAGACACGGGTACATGATAACTTCTGTTCCCACAGAAGGTTCCGTTAGCATTTACAGGTGATTCCCATGTACTGATAGCATTCTTTTGTCAAATAGTACTGTTCTTCACACGATAATAGACACATTTTGACATTGTCTTCATTGAATGACACTATGTCGAAAGCTGCAGCTTCTACAAGAAGTAAACTATTTGTGTGGATGAAATTACACTCCAACTACCCCATCTTCTTCATTATAACGATGTTTCGACTCATTCCGCCTGAAACACTAACCATTGCAACCAATATGATAAGAGTGTGCCGCAGTCACATTACATGACGCGGACACCAACATAACTTGCCAGGAAATGAGAATTTCTATCAATCCAAAAAGCATATAACTAAATTTCATTAAAAATTATTGACAAAAAAATTTACTGAGCGAAATTTCAACCAACATGCCGGATAAGTCCAGCCAAATGATACTATTCTCTGCGACATTTCCACTAGTACTCCTCGCCCTATCGTGCCTAAAAGATATTGCCGTAAAGTCTTCAATACGTTGCATGGCTTATCCCATCCCGGTATTCGAACTACCGTCAAGCTCGTAGCTAGTCGGTTTTGTTGGCCTGGTATTAATAAGGAAGTAAACGAATGGGCACAGACGTGCTTAGCTTGCCAAAAGTGCAAGGTAATAAGACACACTAAAAGACCCCTTGGCACTTTTCTTATCCCTGATGCCCGTTTCGAACACGTCCATATAGATTTAGTTGGCCCCCTTCCAGAATCTCATGGATATACCTATATGTTACCCTGCATCGATCGCTTCACACGATGGCCTGAAGCAGTACCCCTCAAGGATATATCTGCGGAAACCGTCTCACGCGTCTTTGTAGACAGATGGATCGCAAACTTTGGATGCCCATCTTCCATAACAACTGATCGTGGGCGGCAATTCGTAAGCGGTTTATTCTTCGCTCTAATTAAAATTCTTGGTTGCATGTGTTTTCGAACAACAGCCCACCATCTTCAAGCTAATGGTATGGTAGAACGTCTACACAGACAGTTGAAAGCTGGTTTGTCAGCTGCAAATAACACCCATTGGACTGAATCCCTTCCGTTATTTCTCCTAGGGATACGAAACGCTTTAAAAACCGATGCTGGTTGTACTACCTCTGAGCTAGTATATGGCACGACACTACGACTGCCAGGTGAGTTTGTTTCTCCCTCGAGCTTCCCACCAGCGGTAGATCACACCTCATATGTCAGTAGGCTTACAAACGCAATGCGTTCAGTTAAACCTGCTCCCCTCCGACCACAGTCCATTGATGTCTTCGTCCACCCCTGTTTAAAAACTTCTTCACACGTATTTGTTCGTCGCGACTCTGTGCGTTGCCCTCTAGAACCCCCGTATGACGGACCATATGAAGTAATTAAACGTACGGATTAATTCTTCGTCTTAGACAAGAAAGGCCGCGAAGACACCGTCAGTATCGACCGTCTGAGACCAGCTTACTTGGGAGGTAAACCTATTAGCCTAGAGCTGAGCGTATCAAATAATCCACAAGTAATAGAATATCCTGTAGTCTTCGAAGAACTCCCTAGCACGGCGAAAGCCACCGAAACTTCGGTCGATCACTCTAAGAAAACGCGTTCTGGACGTCACGTTAGATTCCCAGAATACCTTCACACCTATTTCACATAACTGAGTGACACATCAAATTTTTTTATGTAGCATCACTCAACACAAGTAAACGGTTTTTTCCTATAACCGTACATTAAACATGCACTTAAAAAAATAAAATTAGATGTATATTTTTCGATATTTTGAATTTTACATTATTTTACTGTATAGTAGATGCACGTCATTTTTTGAAAAAACGCTTATTTGGTATAGTTTCCTTGACAAGGTTCTCAGCATTCTTGTTTTCTTTTCCAGGTGCAACGGGCACTGGACAGGAAACAAACGAAGCACGGGATACAACGAACAACATTGAGGAAGCTGTGTACAGACACCCTATTAGTACAGGCAGACAGACCAGCAAGCTCTCGATCAAGCCGCTCGGAAGATATTTTTCACCCATCAGGGAACCATCGAGAATTTTTACTTCCGGCTGGTCATGTCTTAGGGTCCTCACAAACCCACTAGGGGGGGAGTGAGCCGTAGCGGTAAATAATTCCCCAAAATTATTAACCACAGCAATCATCACTCAACATTGGATGCTGACCATCACTGTTTAAGTCGACTTGTTTAGCTGAAGGCTTCCGGTGAAGCATCCGTGCCATTTGGTACTCCGTCGTGTCACGTGCGTGCACGATTACTAGCTAGCTAAGCATTCACCTCTTCCCGCGATTTTGTCACGAAATATACTACGTACTTTGGACGACAAAATTTGGTCTTTTGCTTTATATTTGCTACTCGCAGAACGAACACTATAGAAGTTGTTGGAATAAGATCTTGCGTTAGTATAATCCGTACAACTCGCGAACGTCGACACCTGCAACCTCTAAAATTGTAACTGATGACAGCGGTAGGTTTAATTATTGGCTCGGAGGAGTGCACGAGAAGATTAGTTAGCTCGTAGTAAAAAATTAGGTTTAGCTTAAGACGTCTTTTCCAGAGTGGTTGTAATCTTAGTCTGTCACAAAGCTCACAGGATTCGAGACCACTTTCTAAACCAAGAATTCTTAAGGTGAATTGCCGTTGCACTCCTTCTAACTTAAGCTTGTTATTTTGTCTGAGTCCGCTAAGAATAAACGGGCAGTATTCTAAAATAGGCCGGACACATACTTTATATAATAAAACCCTAGTTTCACAACAAAAGAAATTGCGAGTTATGCATCCTAGGAGCCTTCGTGTTTTACGTCTGGCATAATCAGTTTGTTCAGAGAACGTTAAGTTACTAGAGTATCTGATACCGAGATCTACAACTGAGTTGAGCTTGGCTAGTTTACGCCCATTTATTTCAAGATTCAGGTCAAGGTTACTGTTGCCGATACAAATCCAGCCGCATTTGTCAATGTTGAACTT